CTGAGATGCATAATTAATATAGAAATATATACAGATAAATATAAAGTATGAATATCTTCTCAGCAGGCGCTGTGAAATCGCTACAAATGGCGTATCCACGCTTGGGGGGTCACCTGCTAAAATCGAAACCTTTCTCACCGGATGGTAATCGTTTATGTTGGAACAGAGGAGGGCCAGTGGCGTGTCTCGCGAAAGCCCGCAATGACTCGAATACCATGCTTTCTGGTAGAAACGTGACGCAGAATTTCTTGTTCGTGAACAGGTCCTACGTTTGTTGCTCAGACTTTGGATGCAAGGGATCTGGCATAGAGGTGGCATGTCATCCATTGTAAGATCTCAAGCTTGCAGCTCTTAACTGCCTACATGTGATCATAGCAACGTGGGGCTCCTTGCCTCTCTGCAGCAGCGGCTGGCTGGACATTGAACCCACAAGCAACTGGCCCGGATGTTAGGACGATGGTCCTTCCAAACATCCGACATGAGCTCAAATGGCAAGACCACAAAATATCATTAAGCCTTGCCGACGCCAACTAGAGTAGATGTCTAGCAGCCCCATATTACGTGAGACAAGCCACAGTGAGCTACATGCAGCTTCTTCCTGTGAAGAAAGCATCTCGTACCAGCTCCTCACTAGGGATCGGAAAAACCAGCCCAACATTATTGCTCCATCGGTGGTCTCCAACAACCTAGCCAATCGTCTACTGAACTGTGCTCGATAGTGCATGACTTACCAAGGAGGCGGAGAAGTTTTAACAGCTCGATTGGCCAGGCCATCATGTCCACCATCCACTTCCAAGAACACCTTATAGATTTAATCCTCCGTAGCAGGATCATTCGTCGAATTGGGCACCACCAAACGTCTGTGCTCCAAGGCCTAAACCTTGTTTTGGCACTGGAATCTACATTTTTCTTTTCTATCCGGCGGTGCGCCCCACATCTTGCAGTTGCCAGTCTCGTTCTGTCCAGGCAAGCTGCAGAGGAGCCCCTGCATTAAAACAGTGGCGTGGAAAATGGCATGCAGCCAACTAAAATTCGACTACCACTGCGCAGCTAGGATCCTGCGGCACAAAGAGGTCAAAGATTGACAAGGCATGCAAGACTCAACACTTCACGCATGGCAGTTCAATCTGTCCTTCGGTTGTTGAAGTCAGCTGCCTCAGAACTCAGTCAAGACATACAACACAGGAAGCCCATCCAGAAACTTGACTACAAGTGCACTGCCAACACAAGCGTGCACATGAAGCATGCTCGTCATACTTCAGTTGAAGCTTTTGAACCGCAGTTGCGAAGTTTACCTATCCAAGTTTGTGCCTACATTAACCTGCTTTGCCTTGGGTGGGATTCATTTTCAAACAAAATGCTCCGGCACGGCAAATCCGCTCACAGCAGCAGGCAACATGATTTACGAAGAACTTTTGCAAAACACAAAGGCTTGAATAGTAGCAAAGGTTGATCTTCCAGTGCGCATGATGTCTGCTATAGATGCAAGTGGGCTTGCACTTGCGTCTCGGGCAGTCGCTTAGGTGACCATAACTGGTATACAACTGGCCTCTGCATCATCTTCAACGACACCATCAAAACAACATCATCATTGCAGTCGTCAGCTATGCAGATAAACTTCCGACTTGTGACGGCCATTCAGTGGCACATTGAAGAACTGCACTGGCCATCGCAGAAGCGCCGCTGTGGGTGGCAGCAGTGGCAGTGGTGGCGCTGGTGGTGGCGGTGGCAGCGGTGGCGGTGGCCAGTTGCCGTGGCGGTCGTGGCCGACGGCGGTGGCGGTGGCTGTGGCGGTGGCTGTGGCGGTGGCTGTGGCGGTGGCGGCATCAGCAGCGGTGACTTTGGCGGTGGCGCTGGCGCAAAATACTGTGGGATTTTGGCCTCGTTTCGAGAACTTAGTTTAGGGTTGGAGTTGCAGGACCCCCCTCTTACCCTCACCCTGCACGGTGCCGCACTACTTGCGTTGCCTGCAACTGGGCGCAGCCCCTTCAATAACATCATGCCAGAACGAAACCATGGCCCCTGTCCGGAGCAGGGACGGTTGAGAGTGGCCTGATGGTTAAAGCACGCAAAGTCAGTGAAACCAATGGGTGCTGGCTCTTGCGCTTGCCGCCAGTGATCAATACCACTGGGTGAGAAGGCAATCGCACCTTACATTTTACGCTCTTACCTGATGGATTCCCATCGCCATCACCTGCTTCACTTGCGTCACCTGCAGCCTGCAGCTGCAAGGTGCAAGGCACGGACCACTCTGAGCTCCACACTCTGAGCTTGCCATCCTCACTGCTGCAAGTGCCCCATCAACGTTTCAACGAGTCATGTCCAAGCAATCCTGGGCAACAGCTGCGGGACGGATTCCGCAAAGCGGCTCATGGCCTGCGGCATCGCACGTGCAACGAAGCCCTCTGTTAGACTGACCACCTCCTGCCTCTGAGTGCTGCTTCAAAGCTACCGGCAGCGACTGACCCAGCGCGAGCAGGGCTTCGGTGCTTCGAGCAATCTCCTTTGCAAATGGTGAATAGGCAAGGAGCCTTGCCATCTTCAAGCAAGGCATACGCAGCTATCCCAGCACTCTGACGCAGATCAAGCTGCGCCCACATGCTGCGCTGCCAAGGCATAGGCTGTGGCCTGCCAGCAGCGTTGTTGTTGGCGCAAATGCGGGCTAGTTGCAATAGCAGGTTTTGCATGGTTCTGCGAGCTACCTTGCTGATGCCGGTGACAATTGACTCGCAGATGGTTTCTGAAAGATGGTCCAGGCCACAAAGAACGACAACAGGTCAGAAATTGATCATCTTTCAATCCTTCGACCGGCTCAAGGACAAGTATTCATAAGTATTCACTCATTGCCATTCCCTTTTGCCAAGTCACAGGAAGTATACTACGGCTACGAGTCTCTACGAGTATCCAGCTGCGGCTTTGCCCCGACGGCCCCTGCACGACCCTGCCCATCGTACGAGATTCTACATCTTGCCGTCTTGCCTTTGTCGGGCGGTTCTCGGTTCTTGTGGCCCATCTTCATCACGCCATCACAGAAATTCTTTTCATGCGACGAGTGGGCCCATCCGCGCCCCGCACCCCGCTGCAAAGTGAAAGCGCCCTGCTTCCACAGCACCCTGACACCTGGTGTCCCCCATATCCGTGTTGCAAGGCAGCCCCCTGACAAACCTTCAGCGCGCCGCATCCCTACCAGGATCAGGCCCCTTCCCTGGGGTTTTTGCATCTCAACACAAGACAAAAAATCCTCGTCGTCGGCGGTGTCTCCCACTTCGGCGGTGTCTCTCACTTGGCACCTCTGAAGCTGACCCACTAAATCTAATCATCTTACGGCGGCCAGAGCACTCCGGTATGTCTTTGCTTGAGGGCCGTGTGATGACAGCAACGCTTCTCCGAAGCCCGATGACATAAGTGGGGTGCTGGATGGCAGTTGGCAGTAGAAGCGCCAGTGTGGTCGCGCACAGATGCGCACCTGATGTAAGCTATGCTTTCGCTGGCCTCCCTCCAGCTTTCTTGAACAGCATAGTGGGTCCCTCTGAAGTAGAGCATGCCCCCCGAAAGCATCACTTAAACAGTCATGGCTATTGAATGAATAGACTCTGCCGCGGTCCAGGAGTTCAGCTTCTGCGAATCGAGCAAACCCGACTTGGCATTAGCTACTTGGAAAAGTACCGAAATGGAAACATGGGCTGAAAACAAAGCCAGCAAAATTCGTGAAGCTACAGGCAACCTTGTGTGTGCTCAACTTTGTTTTGAGGACTGATTCCGTGAATTCATGTTGGGAGACAGCGGCACAGAACAAAAATTATTTACTTCGAGCATCCCCACCCTAAAGCTCTTATTGCACAAGAAGTGTAACGTTTCCCTCCCCCCCCCTTTAACTGTCTTCCTTGCAGCACTGCAAATGCGCTGCAAGCGCTGCAAGAACATTGATACTTTGCTGTTGGGCACTCCAGGGGTACTCTGCGCTTGGGCACTGCAGGGATACTTTTCGGTTGGGCCCTGCAGGGATATTTGGTGGTTGGACACTGGAGGGATACTCTGCAGTTGGGCACTGCAGGGATACTTTGCGGTTGGGCACTGCAAAGATAC